CCCCCCCCCACAATCTGACCCTACCACCCGGATACGGCGAGGGAATGACGACACTTTTCTGTGGCCTGAAGCGCTTGGAGGCTGAGCGTGATCAGTCCGGTGGTGCTCGCGAGTCTGGCAAACGACCTTTTATGTATTCGAGATACTAGTACGTGATGCTATGCAAGGCGACACTAGGATGAGATGATGGTGGTTTTGCCCACTTATTTCTAGCAGCGCAATGGAACCTAATGTGCCGATCAAAGTCCGTCGAAACCATTCAAACATCGCACTTGGTGTGTGCTGACGACAGTGTTAGTATTGTGCTTCACAAGACCAAAAATGAAGCCACGCCCTTGCGAATTGAATGTGTACCGTAGAATTTTGTCTCTGAACCCTCTGAATCACCTTTGATGCACTGAGATAGCGCCTTACTAAACCGTCGCTTTTGATTAGAGCGGGGGAAAAGGATCCAGGTTGAAGGCGTGGGTGACAGGCCAAATAGATTGCCAGTGCAGTTAGCCAGCAAGTCACTGGAGACCCGGAGTTAGCGTACAGGTGCCGTGGGTCTTTTAATCCGCTACCTTCTTGGTTAGTTTGCATCAGGTGGGGGCCATCCATAGTGAGTATTTGTCTTCGCTGTGGTTGGTCCCTTGGCGGCGTCCAAGACAGATACTTCCGGTATGAAAGCGCAGGAGATCTACTATTCGTGCACTAAGAGGCTCACAACTAAAGGCTAGTACATTCCTGCGTCTTTTGCGTGAAGCGAAAAAAGCGGAAAATCCAAATGCACGGTCAGTACCCTATCGAAAGCGCAAGCGCACGAAGCTGGACAGCACGACGGTAGAGTAGAACGCGGGTGTTGCAATCAGTTTGACGAGTAGCTGGCGGGTCGAGTCTCAAACAGCATATTTTTCGTATGTTTTCTGCCAATAAATTAGCCTTTGCACATCGTAGTGAGACTGTCTTACGTTTTCTGCTTACAATTCAATGTAACCAAGCGAGCTGAGGCATACCCACCCACTCGAACTTGTACTAGTAAGTTTTATTCTTTACCGTCTTACATTCCTAGACCCTTTAACCGCCATTACTGCCAGCATATCTGCAGTTCGCGCATTAATTGCTCGAGTCTAAACCTCTCCATTTATTGTTGTGTTTTTGCTTCGAGTATAAGAGCACATAATATGCAGCAAAACCTTACTTTGAAACCTTCTCTACAATGATATATAGCAGATATTGGCGATGATGATCAATCAAACAATATTGTATAGTTTGGCAAATGTTGTAATGCTGCAATAACAATACTTTCTTTTTTCAATCCCTGTCGGCTTGTAGTTCAAGCCAAGGCGAGTGGTGTCCGTGTACACTGTATCATGGTTCATAAACTAATAAAACCCTAACATGTATGTCACCTTTGACAAAGGGAAGTCAGTACTCGTACTAGGTATTAGGCATTCCGTACTCAGTTTTATTATTATTACGGATTTCACCGAATAGTGCCCGGGTCACACTATTCAAAACTGCCCAGGACACTATTTACTATTGCCCAGGTCAACTGCTCAGGTCGCTATTCAATATTGTCCATAAAAAAACAATCACTTTGAGAGGAGGGCTTCTAAACAGTGCAGGGTTACTAAGCGTTGTGAAGAAAAAAAAAGTCTTACACATGGGAGCTGAATTTATCGATGCAAATGTATCATCAACGACATTGCAAAAGCCCAACTGAGAGTGATTAAAGCAACTGGTTATTGTTTCAAGTACTTCTAGGAGACTCTTCCATGGAGACTGCCTTCCATATGTATGTCTAGTGACCATGATGGAAACCTGCCACCTAGGTGTTCGACACCAAGGTTGAATTTTACACGCCATCGTAGGCGTCATCTGTGCCAAAGTAACTATACAGATAGTAATCTGGCGTGGTCAGGTTGAACGCTGGCATTTCGGCCACACACGATTTA